GGGGTTACACTGAAGTGGGTCCAAACATACTTAAAAGACAGAGAACAAGAGGTAGAAATTACATACAGATGCAAAGAAACTAATCAAAACATTTATTACCTATCCCAAAAGAGACCCATCAGCTATGGCATCCCACAAGGTTCTGTTCTGGGACCAGTGTTGTTTCTGTTATACATAAGCGACCTGGAGGCCAGCATAGAACATGGGAAACCTACGTTCCTTGCCGATGATACTAGCATTTTTATAGCAGGAAATTGCACTAACGAAATTCAAAGGAAAACGAATGAAACAATAAACAAAATCACAGAGTGGTTTGAGAGGAATCAGTTAACTATTAATAAAGAGAAAACAGTAGCAGTAGCCTTTCATCATTCTCAAAAACTATAACTTGAATGCTCTCCAATAAAGATTTATGTCACTGTTCTCAACTACACAGATCACTCAAAATTTCTGGGAGTCTGGCTAGATAAGCATCTAAGATGGACTATGCATACGCAAAAGCTAGCGAACAACTTATATAAAGTATGTTTTGGACTAAGGGTAGTTAGAAGAGTGACTGGACTAGAGACTGTCCGCACGTTACATTATGCTCATTTCCAATCTTTGTTACCATATGGGCTGATATTCTGGGGCAACTCGGTAAATGCAAAATTTGTCTTTAAATTACAGAAGAGAGCTATAAAAGCTATGACCCAGGTCCCAAAAACAATTAGTTGTCAACAAATTTTCAAATCATTACATATATTACCTCTACCATCTTTGTACATAATACTCTTGTACCTGTACTCTAATATACATAAAATCCAATTCAAATGATTTCACGACCAACTCAGGATTACACTCATACAACACAAGGAGAAAAGACAACTTACACATCATCCAATGTAATACAAGTCTATGCAAGAACAACTTTAACAATGTAGGACTTAATCATCTGCCACGATATAGTAAAGAAATACTGGTACTATACAAGTTCAAAAACGCTTTTAAAACTTACCTACTCAATCACTGTTTTTATAAACTGGATGAGTTTCTCTCATGTGAGACAAACACTAATCAATTATAATCACATAATTCATGAATAATTGGTTTTGGGAATTCCTACTGAGCAGTTTTCCTTTCTTTCTTCCAGCAACCATGATAACACAGTCGGAGATGTACCTGAATGGGCTTCTCTGGAGAGACTGCAGATATCAAGAAGCTGCGCCAGGAAGGGAGAACAGATGTAATGAGATGTTGCAGTGTAGAGTCTACAGTGAAACGTTATACCAGTGCTATCACCAAATTCACCAATATTATCTCAAAGGCTGCACCATAGCTTAAGCAGTTAATCGCTGGCTTCCCACCGCTGCAGTCTAGTCAAGAGGGATTTGTGATGGACAAACTGGTGCTGGGGCAAGTCTTCCCCAAGTACTTCGGTTTCATCTGCCAATCCTCATTCCATCAAATTCTCCACAAGCATTATCAGGGGTACAGGTACAATAGGACATATAGAAGTTGACTTGCCGAGGGGACCTAATATGGATTCCACCTCACACCACACAAACTCTTAACTATTGTAATCTATTGTAAACAATTGTAAGTACTGTAACTTTACTCTCTTATTGTATTCAGCCAATGTACAATAACTGACTTGTCCTATATCATGTAACAATGATCTACAGAGATGAAATAAATAATCTTCACACTAGTAGAACAGAATGCAAATACTAGGCAATGTTATGAGTGCATTTCCAGTAATATCAAGGGACAATATTAATATCTGATGTCTAAATTCATTCCATTAAACTAAATCTCATCATTACTTCTGCACAGTTGTGGGATGATAAGACAATGACACACTTCATAAACATTAATCAAGACGAGGGTAATCTGTCCAACATGCTCCAGTTAACCTCACATCTCAACCTGCCACTGGATACTTACTTTGTTCCTCTCACTAGAATAATCTACTGTACATAGCCAGCATCAAACTCAATCAAGTGTAAAGAAATCCAGTCAAACTCTACGCACTAATTGTAACTGTCATCAACCTCTGAAATGTGCGAGAACACAAGAAACACAACTGTACAACCTACATGTTTCACTAACAGGGCACAAATAGTAATACTACTCATACAATTAGTACCAGTGGAATCAAGGTAAATTCATTTACATGGTATGAATACTATGACACAGAAGCCCACACCAACATAACTTTTATTTTCCTACAATAACATAATACAGCATGGTGGAGCCAAAACCTGTCACAGTGTGTTCATGATTCATATCACTGTGCATTTGGGCAGGGCCTGGTTCAGTTACCTGAGGTTATAACAACTGGGGCATAATATCTATGACCAAGACACTGCAGGCTCATGCTGTCAGAAACATTTTGCACACATCCAACTATTCAAAATTCCCAAGGACCTAGAACTTACAAAACTATATACTTCACAGTACTTAGTATTCCTGAAGACTGGCCTGGTTTACATCTGGTAAGTAACACTGGAGGTCTAGGTAATGTACATAATCTTGGAGTTAAATTACCACTCTTCCACACACTGCCCTGGTTTCCTGAGAGATGAACACATGGTTTTGACCATACTTTCTTTTTGTCTTTCTAAATATGTAATTTACCACATTCAGTCTCCAGTCAGGTGCAGTCATGTCCAGTCATTCTTACCTGCAGATCATGGTGCCAGCACATAAATGGAACTCTCTAATTCAGACCCATAATGTTATCTGGAAAGACGTGGATTCTCCTGAACAGTAGGCACATACCACGTACATAGAATCAAATCCACTCCTCCCCCATGCACCCACTGAAACACACTGTGCACACCATTAAAGATTTGACAGGAACTTATTAAAGATGAGCAGAAGGCTAGTAATAATTGGGCCATGCTCCTCTCTATACACACATTCTACTTGCCTCCAAGCTGCCTCCGATAAGTAGATTGGTCGTCTTTCCGTTTCGGTGACTATACCTGCAAAATTCCCTATACTCAACAAGCAGTCCCAACGTTGCAATATATTGTAATAACAAGTAACCTGTATCATATAACAGATCCCATCTTACCTCTCAATTATCTGTCGCTATCATCTAGAGCTGCATTCTTCATTTAAAGGAGCAGGTAATGTCAGTCTGCGCCCGAGGCCTTCTCTTCAGTTGAAGCATCAGCTCACTGCGCATTCTGCCACAGCTCGGTTAGATCAACCGGTGCATCATATCACTATGTTTCCAAGAGCGATTCTATGTTTCAAGATATCTCACATATCGAAGTATTTCTAATACTCATAAACCTTCACATTCCCAAAAACCTCAAACTTCCCACACTTTACACAATATCCCCACATTCAAAACTGCATGATATATAATAAGGGAATGCGCACAATGTGCATAGAGTAATTGTTTTCTATTCGCGACTGTATTCGGTTATTGATGTGGTTAAGTTTGTGCATATGGTAATGTGGTATCTACTGCACTTTTTATCACAGTGTTTACACACACAC